TAGAAGGATGTACAGCTATGACACACGACTATCTATTGGGGCTTTGGGGGAAATAAATAAATAAATAATTAATTAAAAAAAAAAAAAGAAAGCAAGGAAACACCGTGAGAGGAGTCTGGGGAGTTCTGGCAGAAACCAGAGGGGCAGGAAGGTCAGCTCCGGCGGCCAAGAGGAGATGGGAAGGCTCTGCCACGTGGGATAAAATCGCCAGATCAGACATCAGCTCAGTCTATGCCTTTGGCAAACCACCTTCTCCATGATGAAAAGGACTGATCTCTCTAAAGCCAGAAACTACCACAGCTCACTGCATATGAAATAGATAAGTTGAGTAGCCCTATAACTATTTTAAAATTTGAATTTGTAATTTTAAAAACTCCAAAAAGGATATCTTCAGCCCTCAGATGGTTTCACTGGAAAATTCCAGCAAATGTTTAAAGAACACCAAATGTACACAATCTCTTCCAGAATATAGAGGGAACACTTCCCGATTCATTTTATGAACCTGACACCAAAACCAGAAAAAGATAGTAAAAGAAAAAGAAGAAAACTACAGACCACTATCTCTCAAAAATGTAGATGTAAAAATCCTTAACAAAATATTAGCAAATAGAATTCAGCAGTACACCGTGCCCAAGTGGGGTTTATTCCAGGGACGCGAGGCTGGTTCCATGTTTGAAGACAATCAACGTGCTCCAGCATATTAATAAGCAGTGTGGCAGCCAGAGGACTCCACTGAGTGGTGCCTGGGATGAAGGTGGGGCCAAGCAAACCTGGGGAAGTGAAAAAAAGTGGGCTCTATACACGTGGCTTTTGTTCAAACAAAATAAAGTGCCGCACTCCACACGCATTAGGTGACCCCTGGGTCACACACCTAACGCTGGTCTGTCTGAGAGCTGGGCCACTGGAAGTGCAGGGACAAACAGGAGAAAGATTGGCTTGAGGCTCCAGGTGCTAAACAGGACAGGCCAATTCCCCAAGGTCAGAGGGATCCCAAGAGCAGGGTCCAGGAACAGAGAAGAGCAAGAGACCCTGGCAAGAAATTGGAACTGAAACATAAGAAAGCCCATTCTGGATTTTTGCTCAGGAACTCTGTGTTTAAACTTTGAACCACATCCTTGCAAATTTGAATTTGAATTTGAAAACATTGATCTGGCACCTTTCATAACCTATATCAAAGGTGGAGATAGAGTCTTATAGCTAATAAAGTTCATCTCTGTCTGAAATACCTTGAATTACCAAACCCTCTGCCTGGGATTCATCTCCTAAAATGAAAAGGCTCCCAGCTGCCTCTGATGTTCAGAATGTGTAAGAATCGCGGCTGCCTGTGCCTTGCTCGCATCCCCTGGGCATCCAGCACTCCAGCGCCCCGCACAAGCTGACAGTGTCCTACCCTCAGACCGTCCTACCTAGGTGCGGCTCTGCCTGAGAGTCAGCCTAAGTGCTGGGGAGTTCACGCTCCCGGGAGCTGCCCTCAGTCAATGAAGGTGGGAGACGGAGGATGAAAACCGCAGCTTCCATGTCTCTGGGAGGGATGACTCAGGCTGTTCTTCACCCACTTTAACGTGCTCATGACTCACCTGGGGGTCTCAGTAAAATGCAGGTTCTGATTCAGCAGGTCTGGCTGCGGCCTGAGATTCTGCATTTCTAACAAGCTCCCAAGTGATGCTGATCCTGCTGGTCCTGGGGGCACACTTCGACTCCCCTACCAGAACTCTCTGCAGTTTCTTCCCAAATCAACCGCTTGCACTCAAATCCTCGCTGGAGGAGCTGCTTCTGGGGGAAGCACTTTTTCTCTCTCCTCCTATATTTCGTGCTCCTTGTTCTCAGTTTTCTCACAGCCCGACCACTACCTCGATGTGACTGGGGGCAAACACTTCATTTCCTCATCTCCAGAACGAGGGTCAGACAGTCTGGTCTCCTCCCGCTCCAGCATTCTAAAGACATTCCCATTGTTCTAGGAATTATCATCCTTCCACGCCTTCCCGGTCAGCTTTCCTGCTCTCGTGCATGACCTTTCAAATCACGCTGGCTTCACAGTCTGCTCATCTTCAAAAGATGTCTCTAAACAGAATTGGAAAATGGAAGCCTTTTCTTCAAATGTAACAGCAAAAGTCCTCGACAGATAAAGGATATAGCAAATGTTCACACATGCAGATGACATTTTCATTGTGCAAGAGAAGAAGAGGCCATTCAGAAAAACAGAAGAACAGTAGTTTTGGGCAGAGGCTATTAAAATGAAAATCAGTGTGAAACCAACAAAAGATATGAAACCATAATCAAAAGACATCTAAATAGGAGATAATACATATAAGAAAACATAATAGTGAGTCGATATACTGTGTTTGCTTTTTGATCAAACATCTGGAAACATACAGATGCAGATAAAAGCTGTCTCCTTCCAGATAATCATTTGGAAATCTATCTTCTCATACCTATGCTTAAAATATTTTTGAAATTCCTCAAGTTTACAAGAAATCAAGTGTATGAACATATAAAGTAATATTACCATTTAGTCACTGTTTTTTACCCCAAACAATAAAACTTAACTTAAACAAACTTTATTTTCAATAACTTAATAAATTTCCCAAAATATTAATACATGAAATTCATGTGTGTAACTGTCAGTTATTGCTGTGTAACAAACAATCCCCAAATCACAGTGCCATACAACAATAAGTAGTTATGTCTCATTCACGAGTCTGCATGTCTGCTGGGTGGCTCAGCTTCAGGCTGCCGGTCTGCAGGTTGGCTGGAATGGCTATGCAATATGTGAGTTCAGTCTGGCACCCAGATGCTGATGGGTTAGCTCCTCAGGCGTATATCTTCTCATGGCACAGGTCATCAGATGTTCCAGAAAACAGGAACCTGTGGTGCCTCAAAGGGCTAGGCTCAGAACTGGTCCACTGTTACCTCCCCACATTCCAGTCCAAAGCAAGTCACGTGGCCAAGTCCAACGTCAATAAGTGCCCCCCATGGAGTTATCGCAGATGGAGTGAATGTTTGCTGAACAGTAATCTAATCTGCCAAGATGGTATTAAGAACTCTAGAGGCATTTTCTAAAGAGGAGGGCCGTAAGTGATAGGAGTAATAACATTGTCATTTAAATGTGTATAACTACATAAAGGGACCATCTTGGAGGTACAAGTTTTAACTTGTTTAAAAAAGTTATTTTTATGCTTTCTATAATGATACCGAGCAATGGGCTCACTCTGCTCGCCTCCATCTGAGCCAATTAATCACAACGAGTTAGAGATCAAGAAATAAAGTTTAATTAGGTTAGCCAGCAAATCGGAAGACAGGTGACTAATGTCTCAAAGACCCATCTTCCAAGATTACAGAATCTTGAGGCAGTTTTATAGGGAAAATGGGCAGGAAGGAGGTGGTCCAGGGATGTTGGTCTCCAGGCATGACGGGCTCCATGCATTACATTGTTCCATTCTTCTGTCAGCTGTGATGGATACCTTGTAGGTATGTTTCCTGCCTGTGGTCAGCCTGCTCCTGGAGAGAAACTCACAGAACAAAGTTCTTAATTCATCAAGCTATTGGGGAGTACATACACAAGCAGAGGCCATAAATCAGGAGAGCATGTGAATTTTTTGCAGTACGTGCAGAGCCGCGAGTAGTCACACGGAGGAGGGGCTGGAGCCATTTAGTGTAACACGATGGCCTCACTTATGCTCACTTACAATTAGAGTCAGACTTCCTACTTGCATCCAGTTCTTATTTATGCTTACATGGGATGGAAGCCTACCCACAGAGGGTGCCGAAAGTTATCAACTCCATGTTTCCTTGGTTCCTCTCTTCCACAAAAAATCTTGAAAAGGAGAAGCAAAATTACCAGCATCTGCATTCTGCTGTCTCCAGCTGGGGCTGGGCAGGCCACTTGCATAGGGGTGAAGCAGCACACGGATTTGTTGGAGTCCATCAGCTTCCGTGGGAAGTACTTCGGTCAGTCAGGAGCCCTGAGTTCAAGCTCGGGCTCTACCACCTCGGCTGCTCCTGTTAGGGCAGCTGCATACCTGGCACATTGCTTCACCTCTTGGGCTTCCATTTCTTCACCCATAAACGCTCTCCCCGTGCAGCCAGCCCTAACAATCTGACATCTCCGAATCTATCACATGCTGGAGGTCTTCTGGTGTCACCTTCTCCTCAAGGAGAACTGCTTTGTAAAGTCACTGATTGCAGCTCTAGGAAAGTGTAGCAGCTTTCATGTGCTGAAGGCGGAGAATGAAAACTCTTATTTAATGTCCTACATTCTGTCTCCATAAAGAAGAGACTCTCTGGGATTTGGCTGGATCGTTCATAATGAGGCGGCAGTCTCAAATCTTAACTTCTCTAGATTAAAACCAAAAGGTTGCCTTCTCTTGTTGGGTGACCCTGATGTGTCTGCAAACATCAGCACTTTTTCTTTTCTTTTCTTTTTTTGGTTTGTTTGGCAGTGGGGGTAATTTCATCACAAAATGATCAATAACAGGGTTCTTTGGCGCCATTATAATATCCTAAGAATCAGAAGGTGGATTTTGAACCAGGGGCCAGAGGAGTGAGTGCTCACTCTACGTGGCAGTCAACAGCCAAAAAAAAAAGAAAAAAAAAGTCTCTAAAATCAACTGCCAAAGCAAAAGGTCTACATTCTCTGGACAGCATTTAATCGATTCTTAACTCCCCGTCGCCTGTCAAGTTCTTCAGCCGGATGATAGCCTCCCTATTTATTTACTCAGCAAACGCCTGTCTCACCCTAGCCGGGCACACGCCGTGAGCTGCGCACTCGGTCTCACCGAGTTCTGCGCACGGTGCGCCGAGATAAGGACCCCTGCCCGTCTCCACGGGTGGGAACGCCGGGCTGGCGCAGCCTCGCCGGCCTCGGTCGCCCCAGATCGGGCTTCTCCCGAGACAGAAGAGCTCCTTTCGCCCTCCTGGGGGTATTCCCGGCCCAGCCCCCTCAGCCCCCCTGCCGGGCGGCCAGCGCGGAGCCCTGTGGCGCGGGGCGGGCCGGGCCCCGCATGGAGCGGCCGGCGCCCGGCGAGGCGCGCATGAGCCGGGCGGTGCAGCCGGGGCACGCCACCGCCCGCGGCGAGCTGAGCGCCGGGCAGCTGCTGCGCTGGATCGACGCCACCGCCTGCCTGGCGGGTAGGGGCCGGGGCCGGGGGCCGCTGCGGGGACCGAAGGGGAGGCGGGGCAGGGCCGGGGTCCGGACGGCGGGGGGCCTGGACGGCGGGGTGTCTGGGAACCGGGCGGCGGGCTGGGATGTGGGGGTGCGGGATGGCGGGGGACCGCGATGGCAGGGGTGGGACGCGGCAGGATCCGGGGCGACGCACCCCAGAGAGGAAGCTGATGGCTGGCGCCCCAGCCCGCGCCGCGCCGGGACCCGGGACGGCGAGGAGAGAGAGGGAAGGAGGGGAGAATGTTGCCGGGGCTGTGAGCTCCGTGCAGCCGGGGACCGCGGTGACTGGGCCAGTCCGCCCCACGCCGGGAATGCCCTAGACCAGTGGCTCCTCAGACGCTTTAGTCTTAGGACTCCTTTACCCCAGTAAATAAGTGGGGACGCTGGAGAGCTTTTGTGTATGTGGGTTATCTTTACCCATATTTACCAAATTTTTAAAAATTTATTCATTCAAAAAGAACAGGAATGAACCCATTACATATTTTTATTGAAAAATAACTATATTTTCAACAATACTAAAAATGTGCTTAGAGGAGTGGTATTGGTTTACGTTTCTGCAACTCTAATGCCTGGTCTGATAGGTTACTCGCGTCTCATACCTGCTTCCGTGTTCAACCTGTTCCCTGCCGCACACTATGGTCTCTGCACAGGACCTTTGCACCTGCTTTTCTTTTGGCCTTTGTGCTCTTCTCTTGGCCCTTTCCATGCATTACATCTCATCTTAAATATCATTTCCTCAGAGAAGTCTTTCCTGGCCACTTGTTTACATTTGCACCCTTTCATCACTTTTATCACAATACCCTTTCCGACTTCCTTTAGACCACTTAGCACAATCTGTAATTATTTTGTGTATTAATCTGTTCACCTTTTTATTTCCTGCCTGGCCAATTAGTGTGTAAACTGAAGCTAGTTCCCTAGTGCTTAGTCAGCAGTAAATAAAAACCTCCTGATTATATGGATGGCTAGATGGATGATGGATGGGTCCAGAACTTGGAATCCCATTTGTAAAATAAACCAGGCTTTGCATGAGGCACTTAATAGAGTCGGCAAATGTACATTTTAAAGTAAAATATGTTAGGATAAAATATTGGAGCTGGAAGGAGCTTAAGATCATGTAGCCCAGGTCTCTGATTTTACAGAGGACAAAGGTAGAGCTCAGAGGGTGACAGAACTCTGCTTCTCAATGAGCGTTAGAGTTTCTGATCCTCTGGGTGTTAACCACCTGCAAAATCCAGTCAGCTACCTGATGCCAATCTGTTTGTTTTCTGTTGGGTGATAAGTCTGTTTGGTTTCTGTCTTCACAGTTTTTATCAGGATTTGAGGTCGGTTATAATAACATAATAGTGAAAACATGAATATAAAATAAACTCACATGTAGGCAAAACGAGGATAGGAAGCACTGTTGCTTCCTTGTGGCTAATAATAATGATGTTATTATAGGGTTGCTAATAATAACGATGCCTATTGCCACGGAAACTGAATGCATATGTGAGTATTGAAGTGACTTTCAAAGTTACCTCACTTGGTGCCCCTGTCCTGTCATGGAGAAACAATTGCCCTCCTGCAATTCTCTATCGTTTTACATCTTTGGAAACTCAGACCATAGAATGATTCAATTGATAATCAATTACTCTGGACCTTAATAGTTATATTACTAACAGCACAATATTAAAGAAATCTTTATGATAAATTTGGTTTGGAAACATGGATAATGCCTGGGTTATACCCTCCATGATGAGAAGAGCACCACATAAGCGAGGGACATCATTTAGCTAAGGTGTAACCAAATCTGCTGCAGAGAAAGGCTCTACCCTGGTGCTCTACTTTATGCAATAAGAGTAATACAAAAATTGGTTTTTCTGGCATTTTCCCAACCAGAGTTCCTTATTGACCAGCACTTCTGTGCTGCCACATTACCACAATACATAATGATCACAGTCATGGCCCCATGGGCACTGCCATGACCCCCAGGCACTACTAGATTCCAAAATGTCTTCTCAATATTTAAAGAAAGAGTAAATATGTTCACTATCATTTCAGCATTAAACCTCATTTCCGTCAGTGGCCCCCTTATTCTTCTAGTTCCTCAAGCCTAGAGACTTGACGCCATCTCTGAGTTATTCTCCATCCTCCATATCCATTTCTTATTTTGAAATATCCCAGACTCACACTTCCCTCTCTATTTCATTTGTGAAACTTTTCCAGGGTTCACTCTCTCAGGAATAGCACCCAATCCATCCAACTGTGCAAGTCAATAATCTAGGAGTCGGGCCAGCCAGGTGGTGTAGCAGTTAAGTGCACGTGTTCCGCTGCTGGCAGCCCAGGTTCGGATCCCGGGCGTGCAGCGATGCACCGCTTGTCAGACCACGCTGTGGCGGCATCCCATATAAAGTAGAGGAAGATGGACACAGATGTTAGCCCAGGGCCAGGCTTCCTCAGCAAAAAGAGGAGGATTGGCATGGATGTTAGCTCAGGGCTGATCTTCCTCACCAAAAAAAAAATATATATAAGAATCTAGGAGTCATCTATCCTTAATACTTCTGTCTACCTTGCTTCCCCCTCTACATATTCAATCCATGAACCAAGTCCTATCAATGTTACCTTAAAGGAATCTCTCAAACCCAACCACTTTGCCATGCCTCCACTGCCACCGCCTAGTCCAAGCTACCATCATCTTTCATGTGGACTTCAGCAGTGGTTTCCAAACTGGTCTTCTCCATTCATTCTAGTCTCCTTTCCACACTGCATCTAAAGTACTTTTAGAAGCTGCTAATCTGACCACAAGTTCTGTTCATCTTCTCCCATTGTCTTCCTTCCCAAGGCCTACAAGCCTTCCTCCATAATCTTTGCTCAAATCTCTGATGAACCTTGAATCGTATATGCATAAGACAAAAAGTCCAAGCTTGCTAGCTAAGGCCAAAAGGGCAGTTCCCACCTCGTTGGAGACAAAGTTTTATAGTTTGAGTTTAGTTAACTGCTTACTTAAAAAAAAAAAAAATACTCTTCAGAGGAACATATAAGAACCCACAGTTTCTACAACATATCACTCACAATTGCTGGGATACAATCCAAAATTACTTGATATACAAAGAAACAGGAAAACATAACCCATTCCTAAGGGAAAAGACAATCAATGGAGATGACAATCCCCAGCTGACCCAAGATGCTGGAATTAAGCTGCAAGGATTTTAAAGCAGCTAGTATTAGAATGTTCAAGGATGTAATGACACATATGATCATAAAGAATGAAAAGATAAGAAATCTCAGCAGAGCAGTAGAAACTGTAAAAAAAAAAAAAAAAAGAACCAAATGGAAATTCCAGAACTGAAAATTACAGTGTCTGAAATAAAAAATTCACTGGATAGGCTTAACAGTAGAATGGAGAAGACTGAGAAAAGAATTAGTAAACATAAAGATGGATCAATAAAAATTATCCAATCTGAAGAATGGAGGGGAAAAATGAATTTTAAAAGAAAAAAATATCAAAATTTATAACATACATGTAATTGGAGTTCCAAAGGAGATGAGCAAAAGTATGGGGAAAATATACAGATTCAAGAAGACGTTGAACGCCAAGCAAGAGTAATACAAAGAAAACCACATCTAGATACATCAGAGTCAAACTGTGATGAAAAGAAAAACTTGAATTCAGGCAGAGAAAAACACTACACTATATATAGGAGATCAATGATTAGAATTACCACTGACCTCATCAGAGACAATGCAGTCCAGAAAACAGTGGAACAATATCTTTAATAATAATTATTATAAAAACTGTCAACCAAGAGCTTCAAGGCCCTGTGCACAGTCCATCCTCAGCCTTCCCTTCAGCCTTATCTTATCCACCCTCCTTCTTGCTTTCTGCACTTTAGCCACAAAGACCTTCGTCAGGAGCTTTGTGGTCATTGTTCCTTCTGTTTAGCATGATCTCCTTTCCTCTGCTTCCCCTGCCACACATCCATTTTACTCCTACTCATCCTTCAGATCTCAGTTCAAGCATTCCCTCTGTGTGGAAGCCTTCCCTGATATCCCACCTGGGTCTGGTTCCTCAGTTACAGACTCCCATAAAAATCCATGTTTTCTTAGAGCACTTAACTCCTTTTGTTATTATGTATTCATTTAATTAATCCCTGGCTTCTCCACCAGACTCCATAAGAACAGGGATCATGGCTGTTTTATATTTCCATCACCTTACACAGAGGCTGGCATAGCACAGGTGGTCAATCAATATTAGTTACAGGAACGAATGAATGGAGGTACCACCATTTTTATCAATCATCATCTCATTTGTGGATTACAACCACTCGGCTACTCTGCAACTCTTCCTCATCTTCTCTCAGTTTCTCCAGGAAATCGGAAATAGCTTTAGGGTTTCTCCACTTTTATTGGCATACTCTACGAAGGACAATCAAAATCAAGAACCAGAACAAGCTGGTTGTGTAGAGTTCATATCTGATAACCTGATATACTTACAAAAAGAAAACAACCACATATAATCACATGTAAAAATGTGGCCCTATTTTAGTTCCTATATCTTTATTTTTCTTTTTAATTTAATCGCCCTTGCAAGTTTGTAGTGTAAACCGTGGCTGGTGAGGCTCTGAAGCCCATATCTAGCCAAGTACTTCTTTAGGGAGCATTCCTTGGTTGGTCTTGTCTTTCCTGAGAATTCCTATTGCTTCTGTAGTTAAAATCACTATTTAGAACCATGCATTTAATCTTTCTAAGCCTAAATTTCCCAATGTAAAATGGAACTAATAATAATACCAACCTCATGTAATTGATGTGCGTAAATACTTAGCTCAGGGCCTGGCCAATAATAAATGTTTAATAAATAGCAACTATTATTATGATTATGTTTCTTCTTGATCCCTAATGCAATCTAGAATAGTGCTATGTATACATATAGTAGATACTCAAGATACACAATAAAAATTGAGTCTTTTATTGGTTATTGCACTTTAGTTATTTAAGTAATTCAAAACTGGTAACTCATGTTGGTGTACATGGTAACAATTTATTAACAAGAATAGTTTAATAAACTCAACATTCCATTTCCTTGTGTCAGGCAACTGGAACAAATGTCTATGAGGTACTCTTTAGTCAATGTTTTACAGCATGTATTTGCAGGGGTCCAGTAGTTCTCTGGAAATCTTAAGCTTTAGAAGGGCACGGACTATGGCTGGATCTCTAACTGCCACCAAGTAGACTCGTTAAAAAATAGGACCAATTTGGCTCAGGGGCTGGAAGTCAGTGGGAACTTATGTTTGAGACACTGAATTAAATTGAGCCTACCTTGAGTATTTCTAGAGTCTGATACTTTTATGTTCCCTTCCTCTCACTGAACTTTATAGCTGGGAAGCCCATCTTCCCCCTCCTTTACTCACACACAGAGTTCTGCTACGGTTCATTTTCTGGTAACTCAAAGTTTATGTTACATGCATGTTTGGAGGGACATTTAGTTATTTTCAACTAGTAAAATCAAAATGTCCAGTATTCTACAGAATTAGATCATAAAGAGGAGTGTTTAAAGACTTGCTCTCCGAAGTTTTTTCTCACCTCTCTTTACCAGGGACTACCAATTAATGTAGATTGCAATTAAAGTAATCCACTATACACAAAGAATACAAATTCAGTATAATTCACTGTCTCTTTCTTTTTCTAGGAGTGAAGTCTCTGAAATTAAAATGGGGTTAAAAGTTCTTTAAAAGCCAATGCAATCTGTTGGGGTTTTAATTTACTGTTGCCTCAAAATCAAATTCTGGCAGAAGCACATGTCAAAGTTTTTCCCAAAGAGAATAAATTCTGATATTTGTATATAAAGTAAAACCAACAATAAAAAAAAAAGATTTTGACAAATTAAATGCAGACATGGGACATGGAAATAACTGGGGCTCCTCCCTAGTCTCTCTCCCCCTACTCAATACTCTCATCCTCCAACCTAATTAATGTATAGTGAATTTGGTGTGAATTTCATAATACTAAATAATAAATATTGACTAAATACCTACTCTGTGCCCATCTCTATTTCTCTGATTCCCAGAGAAGTTCCTCTCTGATTTGGGGTATGATCTCAGGGTCTCCCATACTCAGCTCAGTGTTTATACTGATGAAGTGGCTTAAATATATTCGGTGACTGGTTATGTGGGATAATGGATACAGCTTTGATGCATTGTTTTTAAAACAAAAGAAGGATAGTACCTGACAAAATATTTAAAGTTGGCACCAACTTACTAAAATTGCTACTTAAATAGCTAGATATCTGGGTATTGGCGTTGAATTTCAAATCTAAAATAGTGCAAGTTAAAACTTAGAAGGAAGTACAGTCATTTCCATGCAGTAGAAATATAACTTAGAGAGCAAAAGAACTGTCAGCATTCTGGATCATCCAGAGGTTTGGGCACAGTGGTCCTATATTGAACAAGAGGATGAGTTACTAGAATAAATCCACTTAAGGTTTATTCCTTTTCCCTTGTGCTGAAATATTCAGACATAACTACTAATGCAGCACATTTTTACCTATTTTTTGAAGCTGAGAAACATGCTGGGGTTTCCTGTGTTACAGCCTCAGTGGATGACATACAATTTGAGGAGACAGCTAGGTAAGTGGCATTGCTCTATCATGCCTTTCTCCTGGGTTTATTGGTTCATCTGCAACATATATTTGTGGCACCTAAGCTTATTCATTTGGAGTCATTGATCCAATTTGTTAGTAAAATAAATAACGTTTGACCAAATATAAATCAGTAAAAGAAATAATTGCAGGACCTGCTTTTAGTAAACACTCAAGTGTAAATGCACAATCCTGACTTTGTTGAGAAATAGCTCTGAGCATTCTGGTATAAGGCATAGCAGGATTGCTAAAAGCTGATTCTTAATGGCTCCTTCCTCGACTAGAAGAATAATTAATGATAATAAGTATCTCTATGATGGTGAATTTCATCATTAGGGAAAACATTAATTCATCTGAGTAGAGATGTTAAATTATGAAAAACATTTTATGTGTGGAAGTATGTGCTTTACCATCTCTTATTGTAGGAAATTTCAAGGTACACATATATTTCAAACACACACAGAAGTCAAGAGAATAGCACAGTGTATCCCCAAGGACCCACCACCTAACTACAACAATAATCAACTCATAGACCCTCTTGTTTTCTCAGTACCCCTCCATACTCGCCCACACACCTGCATTATTTTGAAGCAGATCCCAGGCATCATCTGTGAATATTTCAGTATATATTTCTAAGAGATAAAGACTCTTTTAGAAAACATGGTAACATAATCACAATACCATTAACAGAAGTTATCATTCCCAATGGTCTCAAAAAATGTTTTTTTTAATTTAAACAATTGGTTTATTGAGTCAAGATCCGATATCGTTGATATGTCTTTTAGCACATAATTTTCTGTTCCTTCTTTTCTCTTGCAATTTATTTTTTAAAGAAACCTGGTCATTTGTCCTATAGAGTTTACCACATACTGTATTTGCTCATTGTATCCCTGTTTAACATGTTCACCTGTCATTTGTATTTCTTGTAAACTGATAGTTACATCTAAAAATTCATCTGATGAATGTTTGATATTTTGGTAAAACTAGTTCCTGTCAAGAGCACATGTCTAATGACCGTTACCTAGAACCATTATTTCATTAGATATTCGTAAGATGGTAATATGCTAATTCTATCAGTTCTTCTTTATTTATTTTCTGAAATATTTGTGTCTAGAGACGCTTTATCTCATTAATTACTTGGTTACCCTGAGGTAAAGTTTGTCCATGAAAAACAGGCTTAATTCTTGTTATGAACCCATGGATTTTAACGTCTTGGTTGCATTTAATTCTGATGTGGTTATTCTTATGGATGCTCAAACTGCCCCGTCTTTGACCAGTGGGAGTTTCTTCAGTTTGGTTCCTAAGTCCTTTGGACATAACCCCAAAGTTAGAAGTCTTCAATAACTCCTCTGATTTCTGGTGTGACAAGATGGGCTCATCTTTTACATTCCTCACACAAACTTAGAATCAGAAATTTATTCAAAAGAAATTATAAGTAGAGATCACAATCTGGGCAGGGAAGGTGCTCATTGATATAGGGTTGGTTATTATTTCTAGGCTTTTTCAGTGGACAGAATTAGGAATTATATGTTTTTTAAAGAGTTTATACTAATACCTGTAATAAATTAGGATTATATGGTTTTACTTAATTTCTTTGATTTTATATGTTTGTGTCTCTTTGGTTTTTTTTTTTTTTTAATGCTGATTATCTTGATCCTTTAAAGATGTGAACATAACTTACAAGAGAAACAAAGAGAAAGGTCGTCTGTTTCTGGTCCAGGATGGTTCTCAAGGACCATAGGGCAGTTGCCATCAGTTTTCAAACTCGAAATAGTCTTGTCCAATGAGATGCCCAGTTCATCTCTCTAACCTTGCTGCTTAGAGTTATCTATTTGGCATTTATATTTATACACAAGCAAAATTCAGTTAAATAAAACCACATGCATAAAGAAATTACTTCTTCAAAGCTGACCCAAAGGAAATTTGGGGCAGGAATTAGAATCATTGGCATGGAGAGATCTTGAGAGCTCAGCCCAATCTCCTCTTTGTACTGATGAGACCTAATGCCCAGAGCCAGCCAGAAGACAGAGGGTGCCTAGAGCCTGGATCTTATGCTTAATCCGGTGCTTTCCCCGACCCGCTGCTTCTGTCTTTGTGATCAGCAATTTTCCTTGAACATCTCTCAATGCTTATTCTCATAGGCAGCTGCAGTGTCACTGAAAGAGCCCCTGACGTTCTAGAATCTTGTCGAAGCAGATGAAGGTCTGTTGACTAAGCTCACATACTAGCTATGTGATTTTTCCTGAAATAGAAAAAATTGACACGTGTTTGTATCTCAGCAAAATTACGAATTACTGCAAATCCAAACTTATGTGGGGATAGATGAAAGCACCTTTATTAAACTTAGGAATGCCAACAGTATATTGTAATAAAATATCTATTATGTACTTTCCAATCCTAAATTCTGTAACTTAGACTTAACTAGTAACCTCATCTGTGCTATGTAGTTGTGCCGTTTTGTGCCATTTCATGTTTGTGTTATCAGAAAGGATTTGTGGCCACTAAAATCATGGAAAGGAAACTTCTTGTGATTTTGATATGGCAACTGCACCATAAAAAAAGAAAATTGAAAGCTATATATAGAAAGCTATATATAGAAAGCCATATAATTTGGTTATAAGCCATATTAGATATTTTTTAAATTCACAAATATCTATTGCTTATACAAAAAGTACTGGTCTAGGCTCAATAGGATATGTGAATGATTACAGCACAGTTCTGGAGTGTGATGGTCACTCAATCTGGTGAGAGAGTCAGACAAATACATAATCATCACAATAGAAAGCATGGTAGGCTGCATGCCTGGGGCGAGATATAAACTCAGTTCTGTGGGGTAGTTAAAAGGTACATTTTGCCTGGAGAATCAATGAGAGTTTCATGATAGAGGTAGCGTTTGATGCGGACCTTAAATAAGGTATAGATATTCATCTGGTGAATAAGAAAAGGACTTCACAAGACAAGGGACATGTTAGAGCCTAAGCACTGAGAGGAGAAGGAGCATAAGTATTCAACTAAATCTTTAAGTCTGAAATGAGATGTGCTAGGATTACCAAGATCTTTTTTTTTTTTTTTTTACTAGAGTTGGACAAGTTATAACCATCAAAGCGAAAGTTACTAGAGCGTTCAGCACAAGCATGGAGGTAAGAGACCCCTGCCCTTCTCTCTGCCTCTCGGTGCTCATCTCTTCATTGTTTACAGAAGGCAGAGGAGGAGACCTTGGAATAATTCGGAGTTTATGGGATTCTGAGTTTCAGAAGGCCCCTGAATCTGTAGACAGGCTCTCACGTACATAATAAGGAGCCCATGTTTCCCAGTCAGCTCTGCTATTAAAATTAAATGTGATGCAGTGCACTATTTCTACTCGAAGGATACACAGACAGTAAACATACGAGGCAGAAGGGCTCTCTCTTGGTTCCTTGCAAGATGTGGGTTTCATTTCCTAATGATTCTGACTCTGCTTGTTCTCCCTCTCCTCACTTGGGTTTCTTTTCTTTACCATAGTTGTGGATACAACGTTCTCGGGGGCTTTTGAAGTCTCTGTCCAGGTTAAATTAGCAGGAAAGGACTTACTGTACTGGATCCCATTTTGCAACTTCTGGGTTGGTCAGCTGCAGTCCGTTTGAGCCCTGGGCACAAAAGACATGTAGGGACTTATACTCATTTTCTGGGGCTGCCATAACATAGTACTACAGACTGGGTGGCTTAAACAACAGACATGTATTGTCTCACGGTTCTGGAGGCTAGAAGTCCTAAATCAAGGTGTTCGTAGGGTTGGTTCCTTCCGAGGGCTGTGAGAGAGAATCTGCCCCAATCTTCTCCTAACTTCTGGTGGTTTGCCGGCAATCTGTGGCTTTTCTTGGCTTCTGCTGCGTCACCCCAATCTCTGCCTTCATCTTCACGTGGGATTCTCGCTGTGTGCGTGTCTGTGTCCAAATTTCCCCTTTTTACAAGGAGATCAGTCATGTTGGGTTAGGGGCCCACCCACCTTAACTAATTTTACCCTGTTTTCAAAGAAGGTCACAATCTGAGTACTGGATTTGGTGAGGGACACAATTCAACCCGTAACAGAACTATGTCGGCAATAACCACACCAATGGTGATGCTTTTCCCTGATTTAGTCACTTCCCCCAGTGTCCGTATGAACAGAATACAGAACACTTGAAGAAACTAGAAAGGAAGGGAAGCTGTGGATACAATGAGGTCTGCCTGTGACAGTTGTGATGGTGCCTCCGGACCCTGATCTCCCAACTGGGGGGCTCTCAACCCTTCCACACAGTAGCCTCTGGGCTTGGCCTCTCTCCTGAGGGCTGGCACTCTCCTTTATATTCAGCCCAAGCATAGATAAAAGTTCCTTTTCTTTTATTCTTTTCCTCTTATTCCCTGAGACAAGCTAGAATTTCCAAAGGAAGTTTGACTAAAAGCTAAGAAAAGAAAAGAAAAAATCCCAGTGAGTTTGAAAGTGCAGAATTCTGATCCTAAGGAAAGTAAATGCTAGCTTCAGTTGGGGCTGTTAGCTCCTCGTCTAAGTTGGGGTCGTCTGTGGGTTCTGTGAATGTTGTGTGCTCAGTGTGATCTGGCTGGAGGGAACTCCAAAGATCCCCAGCTCTGTGCCAGCTCCTGGACTTGTTCACATTACAGCTCCTTCGCAACTGTTTCTTCCTCAGAAGTTGTTCTTGTCTGACCTTTGAGCTTTCACCTTACTCACGCTCAGGCTGGTATCAACCCAAACACTCCAGAGGACTGTATGCATGTTTCTGGAATTCTTTCCTTTTGTGGCTCCCTCCTCTCTGAGACTCTCTCAGCTGCCTTGATCTCCTTGATTTCTGGCTCCTCAATTCAGTGAGATTCGGTTTCCCCCCCTTGGCCCTCTTCTGGGCATTGCCTTCAGGCTGTGATCCCGGGAAATGCAGGTGCCCTGCTCATTCGTTCCCTTCCCCCAGGGATCACAGTTCTGTGTTGCCTGCTGTCCTATGTGTGGAAATAGTCACTTCCTACACTTGTTCCAGTTTTCCAGTTGTTTTCACAGGATGTCATTCCAATCTGACCTACTGTCTCATGACACAAGGTGAAATCCCACCTGGCATATGTCTTTGAGACATTTGGTCATCATACGTAACTAAGTGAACGGTTCTAATAGGAGACAGTGTTCAGAACTTCAGAGATAATGTTTTAACTCTCCAGACTGTTGCTTTGTTTTTACTGTCAGGTGTTTTATTCTGTTTTTTATTTGTCTATTTCTCTGAAAGTGGAAAGCTATGTGGGGTTGAGATTTGTTGGGGTTGAGAATGGATGGTTTAAATTTGGTTAATCACCATCTACTTAGCTTAGGTTTTACCATGCAAATACTACTTTGCATTTATAAGTTAAGTGACTTAAAAAGAATCGTGGATTGTTGATTATTTTTGTACATAATGTACTTGGTGAAGATGTAGAAATAGATGTTCTTTATCATTGGTTACATAGGGCTGAACTAAGATGTCTGAGGTGGCCTATTATTCCAAGAAAGTGTTACTATATCTGGGATATGTGGGGAAAGCATTTATTAGCCCAAATCTAATGACAGGTTCCTGAGTTTACCAACACTTCTGCAGAGCGTGATGGTGAGGACCCGAGCTTCCGAGCTCGTCACACGGGGCAATCCAGTCCGTTGTAGAGTCACCATAGAGTGTCTCAGCCACCTTCTTGCTGTTCCTGAAAAAATAAAACTCCTGAAAAAGGAAACAAAGATGCAAATAACATGATGTAATTCTGTCCATGTTAACTTGGTTATAAAGCTCAGAGACTAAAGATTAAAAAGAGTTATGGTGCATCTCTCTGATGGGCTATGGGGCATTTATTAATATCTTGTTTTCAAAAGCATATTTAGTAATAATGGGGTTAGAAAATGCTTATCACATAATGTCAGTTTTTTAAAAATTATAATATAAAACTGTAAATACAGTAAGAAAAATTTATGTGTGACACACACACACACATATATATGTGCATGTATATACATTTCATATATCTATGTAAAACTGGAAGAAAATTCACCTAAAGTTTAGTAATTATTAATCTGGGTGGTGGGATTACCGATAATATTTACTCTGGATAATCAGATTCCATTTTAATCATTTATCTATTTTTATATTTACCAAATTTTCCGTGGTAAATATATATTTTTCTATAATCGAAAAGAAGTTATTTTTCCAGCTTTAGAGCACATCATGGAAAAAACAGTATTGCTTAAAAGTAAATTAAAATGCTGGTTTTACTCAAAAAACAAAAAAAAAAGAATGGTGAGGTGCATAACCAACTCTTAAATGCCCCCCTCTCATCTGTTGTCTGGATGGCTGGACGGTTATTTATTTTTCTCTTCATTTTAGATCAGCATCAAGGTTGTGGTACAGGACATGTTCACCGGCGTTGAGAAACTTGTGAGCGTGGCTTTCTCTACATTTGTAGCCAAACCAGTTGGAAAAGAAAAGGTAAATTTTCTTGTGAAGAGGTATCTAGCAAGTAATTCAGTGACATGTTAACAATCGCATCAGAATTATTATGGAAAAGGGACATTTCTTGTTACCATGAGATGTGCTTTCCCAAGATTGGTTATTCACCAGTGTTTATGGTGAAAGTTATCATTCTGTGGTAATATCACAGTATTAAGTACGTAAGAGAAGAGGAGATATGGCCAGTTTGTGAAAAAGGAAAAAACATTGTGTTTTAAATGATCTGAAGGTCATATCATTTCTCAAAAATATTGCTTACTAGTTTAGTACTTTTCTTTTGTGGTTATATAACTCAAAATTGAGTTAAAATAAAATTATTTTTGAAAAGCAAGAGCAGTTTAGCTAGCAGTTGCACGTTATGGTCCACACACGTTTTCATACCTGAAGGAAGAATGTCCAAGTTTCTGAGTTATTAAAGTTTAAAAATAAACTTCAGGACATATAGGGTAAATACACCCTTAAAAGAAATACACTGGCCTGGTGTGCATGCCCAGTGGGCTTGCCTGGCCATCAGCCCAGAGCAGCCTGTCCGTAGTCTGCTGAGGATTTACTCATTATAATTTCTTGGCTTTACCTTTTTGGGTCAGGGTGCCTGGGGGAGGGTCCCCATTTAGTCTAACCATTTTTAACTATAATAATTCAATTTAGAATTTAAATCTTTCACTCCAAGGATCGCTCCCAGAGGTGGGCACAGTGGCTTCTCCTAGCTCCACTCTGAAGCAACAAGAAGTACTTCTCGCTCTGCAAAAGTGTTCTTCCTCAGGCTGCCTCCAACTTTAGAGCCAGGACAAAGCAATGTTTTCACTGCCCCCAACAGAGGTGACAGCAGAGCGGCACTCACCAGCTGCCCCTCACTTGGGCCGGGAGGCACGGAGGTGGGCCGGGGCTGAGTTAGCCCACGGGAGCCTGGGTGGCAGGTGTCCCTGCAGAGTTTCATACACTGGGACACTTCTCCCACTCTCTGCCCAATAATGAACGGTCCGCAGGGCAAATTCACATTGCCCAGGGGGGTTGTTTTCTGAGCGGAAGTTCATATAAGCTATTATATTATAAAAATGCAGCTTTCTGGGCTGTATCTCAGACCCACTGAGTTAGAATCACTAGCACAGGAACCTGGAATCCGTACTTTGACAAAGCGTCCCAGGGATCCTGTGTTCACTAAAATCTAAGACATTGAGATAGGTCTTGCCAGCCATTCTGTTTACCCTGGAATCCCCCAAATCTCCAAACTCTTGGGAAGGAGAGCATATGGGTATGAGTGCAGAGTTCTCATATCTAAGAGCAGGGGGTGGAAAGGAGTCCACCTCCCCAACCTACTCCTTCACATGGGGGAGAAAACAAGGGCCATCATTTTTTCCCTCCAGCTTCAGACTTCTCACTCCAACTTCAGGGAGTCCTGGAATAAGAAGACAGTAGTCACACTCCAGTCCAGTCTCTGCTGAGCCTGAAGAACTAACTATGCTTCAGTTAATATAGCACATCATGAAGAGAGCCATGAAAAATCAGTGGTCTGGTTTGAACCGACAGGCCTACCTGGATCTCTGTCCAAAGTGAGTTTATCCCAGGATGAGATGAACAATGATTAACTAGACTTTGTTCAACAATGGCACAGCCCAGATCATTGAAGGACTCACAAGACCCCATGGGGTGTGCTCGGGCAAGGCCTCACTAAAGCTAAAGGAGGTGGTACACAGGAGAAAGACAGCTCAGGCAGACATCAGACGAGTTCAAGACTTCCAGGCATAGCTCTCAGAGTCCTCTTCAGTCACACAAAATGTACTTTATCTTGAAGAGCCAAGGCACAAGTTTACCAAGTGGGCTTTTATACCCTGTTGGTCACGCAACGAAAACAAGGCTGTGTGACTAGTTAAACCAGGGCAAGCTCTCAGTCCACACATTCCTACACAAATGAGACAAAGCAGTCCAGGGGAGTCTTGCTTTAAGCAGCATTAATAAATCATTAGCTATTTCATCCTTATCTGGGCCGAGGGTCAGCCCAGCCTTTAGGTGTCCTGGAAATAAGCGCGGAGCTACCCCAGTCCAGCTGCCAGGTGACTCTTAGACACACGGGTCAGCAGTCAGGCATTTTGGGAGGAGGTCGAGCTCTTGGTTCTGTTGCATCATACTTCTGGGTTTCTGGAAGTCAGTTAAAGCTTTATTCTGACATATTGATTCTTTCAGTTTGCTTATTAGACAATGTTTTCACCCTGTGATGAAATTTCCAAATTGGGAATATCTCTTGGTACATGATAGCTTTCTCTAGAACATCTTTATTCTCTCCCTTTGATGTCTTAATTTTGCAAAAGGTAGAAAACATTTCTTGGGAAGAATTCAGTGGAGTCAAAGTCAGTCTCCTCATTCATTAATTCTAGTCAGTCTCCTCATTCATTAATTTGAAGAATTTCTTATTTTGTAGTTCTGAAAATTTTTAAATTTAAAATTAATATTTGGAAAATTCTTTAAAGCACATACTATATGAAGAAATAATTAAGCCTATTTGATTTTTTCAGTTTAAAAACATTTTGAGAAAAAACACTTAGTCAAAATAATATGTGTGCAAAAACGCCCGTAAATGCTCCATTTACTTTGAGTTAGAAAACAACGTAGCATGTCATTTGTTTTGGCAAAATTCATGTTGTGCTTTTATAATTTAACAAGGCAATGAAAGATAAATGTTTTTCTTTCTCTAGATTCATTTAAAACCAGTCACACTTCTAACTCAACAGGATCATGTGGAACATAATCTGGCCTCTGAGAGAAGGAAAGTTCGGTTACAACATGAAGATACCTTTAAAAACTTGATGAAGGAAAGCAGCCAGTTAGATGGTTAGTAAGTCTACTTATAGGAACTTTATATGCTGTGACAAGTGAAGGGGGCCTTCCTTAGAGCACATTTGTTTTCGCCTAATGATTATAATTCGGTCCTGGTGATGCTAGGTATCTTTTTCCAACAAACCCAGTGGCTGGAGAAGGAAGGCGCCAGCCATTCAGAACATAACTGCTGAGATCTAAGATCTGTTTAAACTGGAGGATCTCTGCAGGGGAGGAGACAGGAGAGAAGGGCGACAGGGACCAGGCAGTCCTTGCTAGTAAGTGTGTGCTCAGTGATGATCGGCGACTAAAGGAATGACAATGCCACACATCGATCTGGGCTTCACAGTTTATGAAGCAGTTTCTCATCTGTTATTTCAGATGAGCTGCATTAATCTCAACAGAGGAGGAACTGGAAACTCTGAGCAGTGAGGAGCTTTGCTAAAGATCACAAGGGACATGAATGGAAGCAATAAGGTTCTCCTGTTTCCTGGCTCTTCCACAGTAGCATTGTGTTTGATGAGCCAAACTTGCTTAGTTCTCCAGCAGAGATTTCCCAGCTCTAGGAGGCCTCATGAGGCGAGAATGGCAGGACAGGAGGCTGCCTTCCCTCTCCTCTGTCTTTCCTTTTGTCTGCCCCCATCTCCTGCAGCCCTAGGGGGGATGACCTGTGGTGGAGAGCCAAGTGGGTGAGGGGGGAAGTGGAGTGATCCAGCCTGAGCCCCTCACCACTGCCAGGAGGGCAGGAGGCTCACCGAAGGTCCAACTCCCCTGGGCTGCGAAGGCAGACACAGCCAGAAGAGGAAGGAGTGGAGAAGACAAGAAAGGTTGGAATAAGAATGTGAAAAGCGGGGGAGGAGGAAGGAGGAAGAGTGCGCACAGAGACCAGAGGGGAGAGGAAGAGCTGACAGGCAGGGGTAAGGGACATATGTGGGCGATATTCTGCCCCACGTGACATCATCACGGTCCTGGGACCACCCCACAGATGACCTCTGGGTTGGAAAAGAGCTTTTTAAAGGCTTCTGTTTATTGCTGACCTTTTAAAAGACAATGCCCAGTACCAAGTTATTTTTAGGGAAATGAAGATTTCATCATTAAATTACTGTGCTGAGAAGAGTACATCCTTTTGTAAAGATGGTCTCGGTACCAAAATATATTTTAAATGCATTTTACTAAAGTAAGGAAATAGCTGAATCATAAGAACAAGAGCATTACTAGAGAGAAAATTCAAGGCAGAAGGAGGCAGGACATGAAAAGATAGGACTGTGTCATAGAGGCTCCCTTAGGCCGTGCTCAGAAGCTTGACCTTTCTTCTGTCCTCAATGAGAGCCAGTGAAGATTTGAGCAGGGTTGTTGCATGGTTAGGTTTGTATTTAATATGGTCACTCTGGGTAGAGGAGGGGAGGCTAGAGGGAGGGAGACCAGGCAAGAGGTGAAGAGTGGTTGTACCAGGCAGTGACAACGGGGAGAGTGGAAGGAAGGAGTCAGAAAATATACAAGGGGCAAAATCAGCAAAATGGGGTCCCCGATGTGGGGAGATGGTGAGGAAGCAGAAGGAGTCTAGGATAACTCTCAGGGTTCTGGCTTGAGCAACCTGTTAATTAATGGTGGTAGCATGGACTGAGATGATAAATATGGGGGGCTGGGGAGGTGGTATTCTGATGAGGTGGATGATGAGTTCAGTTAGTCTGAGGTACCTATGGAACGATCAAAAGGATGAGACCAGCGCTGGGGAGAGTAAGTTTGAGACAACAGTTTAAAGATGTTAATTCAAATGAAGATAGTTCCTGCAGTCACCCAGAGAGGGCTCACAGGGACACAAGGGTGGTGGCCCGGGAACAGAACCTGCGGAACACGGCCGTCTAAGAGATGATCAGAGGAGGGAGATGAGTCTACGAAGGAGACCTGGAGGAACCGGCTGGCAGGGTACAAGGAGAACTGGAGAGAGTAGTGTCACAAGGCAAGGGAGTAGAGCTACATGAAGAAACGAGTGGTCAACTGTGTTCCAGCAAGTGAGGAATAAACACTGTCCACTGGATTGGGAATAGGGAAGTCGTTGGTGGCCTTGGCAAGAGCAGGGTTGGTGGAAGCGTGAGTGCAATAAATAGGGTGTGGAAAGGGAGACATTCTGATGACCTCGTGTTAGTCAGAGGAATCAAGGGATGGGGAACAGCTGACTATAACCTCTATGTCATAGTCACCTCCAAATTAGACACGCTTAACACTAGGCTTTGTTAAAGCACGTTTATTAGGATACAGTGGATGCTGAAGGAAGTAGAGCCACCAGCCTCCTAGCCCCTGACAGCCTGAGTGTTGTCCTCTGCCTTAGACGTAGACAGTGAGAGATAAGGTGGCCATCATTGCTCTGAGAGCAGCTCGGCCATTTCAGAGCCTCTGCTTTCAGGGGAAACTGAAGCATTGAATTGGACCTCAAAGTGCCGTCCAGACCAGCAGGAAGTGTCCCACAGCAGTGCTGGCGTTTGACAGGAACTCAGTTTCCCCATGGTGTTTTCCTGCACTCGAGCCATCAGAGAGGGGACCTGCTCCTCTCTGGTCTCTGGACCCAGCTCCTCCACAGGTAGCAGGGGCCTTTCTGTCAGCCCACTCACTCCCGAGGTACCCACAGCCACGATAGCCGCCTCCTCCACGCTTGCTCGCTCCTGAGGCGGCATCGCTAGACTTGGGCCCGCTCGTCGGCCCCTCGGCTTCCTCTCTCAGCTGGCCAGCAGGAGGTTGCTCTGTCTATGTTCGTGTCCCAGGACTTGCTGCCCGGACTCAAACCGCTGGCTTTGCTCTGATTTTCTCAGCTCACTGAGGCAAGGTTAAAAACAGACAAAGAGAACTGGAAAACGGAAATAATAAAGGAGCTTATTTAAAAGGTTTGTTTGAGGATTAAATGAGTTAATATAGATAGATTGCCTAGAACAGTGCTGGGCATGCAGAAAGTGCTATTATTATTATTGTTATTTGAAAGGTCTCCTTTCATAGGAAGGATTGGAGGCAACAGTTAAAACCATTTTTTCAAAGAACCTGGCTGTGAAGGGTGGAAGGAACAGCCTGGAGCTAAAGGGGGCCCTCGAGGTCAGAGGGGCATTGTTTTTCAGGAAAGGAACATTTGGTCATGGTTAAGGGCTGATCAAGGCTGATGGATAAATATCATTGAGGAGGGAGAGGGTGATTTTAGGAGAAAGACATAACTGGTGTCAAACCTGTACTTAAAACACCTGAAAATTGTTATTTCTTTGTCTTGGGAGGAATTTACGATGATCTCTGCCACTCTGGCCTTTCTCACGAGTGTCAATCTGTTGGGGAGGGTTGCTAGGCCTGGTGATCTGAGCTTCCTTCACTCCCCACTCAAGGTCACAGGAGCCAGGTGAACTTGGCTGGCTGCATAGGCGTCTTCTGGTGTTGTACAAGTTGTCCTAATAAACAAAGTCAGCAGCAGACAATTTGCTGTACCCGTCTCTGCAACACCAACAGTACTGTGAGTACGAGAGAGATTCTGAATTAATTAATAACAGGCGCGTGCTACAGCCATTCAAATGCAGAGGTAAAGTGATTGCAATTGACTTTAGTTTCAGTTTGTTAGGAAGTTGGGCAGATCAGATCTATATGTCTGGTTCAATTTAGACTTATAGATTTTTAAAAGTCTGTTTTTATCGTCTGTTTCATCTGATCTGCCCTAAAATAGATTATTCTACATTCCTTTGCACAAAACAACTTTTAACCTGGTTTCATTGATTCGATCTTCATTTTAGAAATTTTACTAGCTTCCATTGCCACCAAAGGTACCACAGAACTTAAAAAAGCAATTTCTCTTAAGAATGTAAGAGCCAGAGCCTGGAACTTAAAGTTGCCACAGAGTGTGTGATTTGTCCACCTGCTCCCCGTAGATCTGATGGAGTTTGTTCTGGACTGGACAATAAGTTCTAAAGGAAGACAGCTAGATGATTTTTGTTATTGAACTGTGTTTTTAGAAAAACCAGGGTCCTACATGGGTTGTAATATCAGGCATAAAAGATTGGAATCCTTTTCAAGATGTTGTATTGTTACGGGATGCATACCCAGGTTCTTCACCCGCTACACAAGAGGGGCCAAATAAAACTGGAATGCCAGCCGGGAGACAAGAGCTCTCAAATTTGTCCAATCTCCCCAAAAGATGGGAGGCAAAGAGTTTTAAACGTTGTGAGGAATGTAGCTGCTTGGAGGGAGGGGGAGGCTGTGACCTTGCTGGTCGGCGCTTTCCCATCAGCCTGCGTTTGGCCTTGTGAGGCTGCTGGCGGGGAGGAGGATGGCGAGAAAAGGGAATCACAGGTGGATGTCCTTCAACCGTCTCCATGGTGTATGGTGAATTCTGGCGCCAGGAAGCCAAGGAATTGAGGTCTGAGAAGCTTTAGCTTTTTGATATCAGTTTCCTTGTAACAAACCTGAAGAACTGGTAATTAGCCAAAACATCAGTGTGAGCCCAGCTTGAGGCCACCTGGGCTTTTAAGGATTTGTAACTTCTATCTGCCTTGTGAAGTTCAGGGATACAAAGGTTTAAAAAACCCAATAGTTACATATGAATGGTAACTTAGAAGCAGGGAAAGAGGATGAGTGTTTTTGGTTTTAACCTCATATGTTTTGGGTTTAATGTAAGGGAACTGTTATCAGGGCCAGTATCAGTATGATTGAGAGGCATTTGAAAATTGAATCCAAATCATGTGCTTTCAGAAGAAAAGGGGAAAAGATGGGATTAGATTATGTAAAAGCAGGATTTCTTTGGAATGTGCTCTTGTACTGCTGGAATGTGGAAGCTTGGCATATGTGGAAAGACTTAAGCCTTTCTTGAGATTTGGAGCATTTTTTTTTTTCAAACAGCTTTATTGAAATATACTTGACATAACAAACTATATTTATTTAAATGGTACACTATGATAAGATTTTTTTTTGCATTTATTTATTTGTATTTTTTTTTTATTGATGTCTTAATAGTTTATAACATTGTGAAATTTTGGTTGTACGTTTTTGTTTGT